TTTTAGATAAAATTATCACGTGAATGATTTAACGTTACCACTACAAAAGAAAAAAAAAGATCCAAAAACATAGTTTGAGCCAACACAAAGTAATAATCACACTCTTTTAGAACCAATTAACGCAACTCGATTAATGATCATGGTTAGCCAAAAGTGGTCCAAGAACAAGATTCGACCTAACTCATCTTAAAAATCACAAGAGCAATAACAAATCACTCAACCACACCAACAATTATGAATATCAATCAACCGATATCAACACAACAAGTAGTTTAATTAAATCACCTACGCTTAATAACAATTTAATCGATTCATACATAAGTAGCAGCTTTAATCAATTTACACAAGACAATAATTTAGTTAATTATAAACACATCAATACAGATTAAATTTAATATATATTAAAATAAAATGGAATAAAATAAAATGAAAGGTAAAATAAATTATTGTAAAAAAGTCGGATGGATTGAACTGTGGAATTATGGTCAACTTCAACTCTTTTCAACCCCAATGGAGACCGATATCCAATCAAATAAGGAGAAAAGATGGTTATTAGTGATCAAATCTAGTCGGATAGTGTGGTGAGGTCGTTGGATCGAACCGATCAAACGACGTGGGGTTGGATGGGGCCGCTGGGTCTAGCAAGAATCAATTCTGGTTGGTTTGTCATAGATCGAGTGAAAGGGGTGCCGACTAATTGTTGGATCCATTGGAGAAGAAGTTAAATAGAGCTGGATCGAGTCGGTGAAGGGCTAACAAGGCTGGCTTGAACTACTAGAGGTACTAAACCGAACTATTGTTGACCGATGGACTCCCAAATTGATGGTGGAAGAACGGCTAGAGATCGTTGGATGTCGAGCGACAAGCCGATCGATTTTTAAAGGTCGTTGGGGTGTGATATTGACAAGCGTAGAGTCGGACCGGGGCTAGATTCGATCAAGCGAAGGAGTGGATTAGACCGAGGATTAGATGATTGTTGGTTTGGTCTAACCGGCTAGATGCTACCGATCGAAATTTGGGAGGCTCGCCGGTTTGGCTTCGCATGATTGGGGTGGTTGAATCAAACAATAGTGCTAATCGGATGTGGAGGAGAGGTCGGTTGAAATTTTTTTAGGGAGAGAGCGAAGTGGCTGAATTTTTAAAGAAAAAAGGGTTTTTATACTGGTTTTTCTAGGGATTTTTTTTTTTGCTAAAATTCGATTTTGTTCCTCCGCATATCGACTTGTTTTATTTCGATCATTTTCTCTTTTTTTCGATTACATCCCTCAATTATATTTTTTCAATTCTTTTTCCTCTTTTTTTTTTATTTTTTGAAAAAATTTTAGATGATAATAGTTGTCTCCTTTTTACAATGCTTACGACGATGAGCTATTAAAAAACTAGCTTTTCTTTGGCTTCGCATAATAAGCTTGTAAAGAAAATCATAAAAAAAAATGACAAACAAACAGAACATAACAAATAAGTTAATTGACAAGGTCAAATGATGAATGGCTTTCTTTTAGTCACTAGTCAATTGCAAAAGACTTTCCTCAAAACACAGAGTTAACACGAGTAACCATTCCCAAGGTTAAAAAGGTGACCTTCCCTTGACAATGCATGATGATAAAAATAAGAAACCGAATTGATGATAAAAATAATTATACTTGTTTTATTTGTAGTAAACCCGTGCATATGGTTAAACATTATCATTTTAAAAAACTTGGGCTTGTTACTCAAGCCAACATTATCAAAAAGCTACTTATGGCTATGGCTTCGAGTTTAATAATCTCTAAGGCTTAGATAGATGGTAAATTGATTCATGAGCCACTACGTATGTCTTTTATGATAAAAACTTGTTCAAGAGTACTTATACCATCTTGGATTAAAAAGAAAAAGAAAAAAAAGAAAAAAAAATCATGCTTGTTGATTCTCACACTACTTAGGTAGTAAGGGTTGGAGTAGTTTTTATCAAATTTACATCTGAAGAAAGGTTACTCTCAAATATGTGTTGAATGCACTTGAAATTCTTAAGAATTTGGTTTTTGGTTTTCTTTTAGATAAAGTTAGCTTTAAGAAAGTTGTTGAGGCTAATCCATATGTACTTTCTAAAAAGGATCTTTTCATTGGAAAAATTATGCTTTGTTATGGGATATTTAAACTTCAAACTAAAATGAATGAAAAGCCTACTTATGCTTATGCTATTTCTTCGTGGATATTTGACATGGTAGGTTATGTCATATAAATTGCAAAATGTGAAAAACTTGAGTAATTTTGGTTTAATTCCTAAATTTGAAAATGAATTTGAAAATTGTTAATCCTATAGTATGGCTAAAATTTCAAGAAAATCTTTTAAAAGTGTTGATTATAATTTTGAATTACTAGAACTTATACATATTGATATATGTGAGTTTGGTGATATTTTAACTTGTGTTGATAATCGTTGTTTGATAATTTTCATTGATGATTTTCAAATTATTTAAATATTTTTCTTATAAAGCTTTAAAATGAAGTTTTTGGGAAAGAAAAATCATTTTCCTATAAGAAATAGAGATTAGAATGAGTAAGAAAGATTAAAAGGTTTAAAAGTGATAAAGGTATGGAATATAGTTCAAATAGCTTTAATAGTTTTATTCAATCTAATGATATTGTGCATGAAGTTATAGCTCCAGCATTCACTTTCTTAAAAAGATGTAGCCGAGAGAAAAAACATGACCTTATTTGATTTGGTAAACACGATGTCCGTTAGTTCTTGTGCCCTAAAGAATCCATGGGATGAAGCTATTTTATCTCGCAAAATTTTTTTTTAATAAAATTTCATATAAAATTACTTTTTTAACTCCTTATGAAATATGAAAAGGCTATAAACTAAAATTGGATGTTTTAAGAGTTTGGGATTGTTTAGCTTTTGTTAGACTACTTGATCCTAAGAAATCGAAACTTGGCAAAAAAAAAAAAAAAAAAGCTTCTACTTGTGTATTTTTAGGTTATTTCAAATAATAAATCTTACAGATTTTTTTACCTTGATAATAAAATTATTATTGAATCCAAGGATGCTATTTATCGTAAAAACAAAATTTCTTTTAAAATGGAAAATGATAGGAGTACAAATCGTCAACCAAGTATTAAATCTTTCCCATTAGCTTTTTTTTTTTTTTTTTTGCCCATTACCATTGAATCTTTCCTAAGGAATTTGACTTAAGTGTTTTTTTAATTCAACTTGTCTTTTGGTCATTCATACGTATAGTAGAAAGCTAACAAGTAGGGTTTCTCCGCTGTAACTAGCCTCCATCTTTTTTTTTTTAATTATTTAGCTTTGTTCTTCTTCGAGAGGTTTCAGGTGCTATATATATATGAGCTTTTTTATTATTATTATTATTATCATTTCATTAGTTTTTTCAAATTTTTTTTACTTGCAATATTCTATTTTATTTTTAAGGTATCTATTAAAAATCTTATTTATTTATTTTTTCTCTCTAGGTTCAATTAAAAAAAAAAAGAAAAAAAAAGATTGCATGCCGAATATGGGTTTCATAATCATGCTCGCATAATTGATGATGGTCGAGTTCCGGAGGTTTTTTTTTAAAAAAAAAAAAATTCATTTCATTTAACTCGAAACTGAAACTTGGTACAAAATAGACTCCAAGGCTGGAGGAGGGTTGCTAAGCCAGCATACGTACATGGATCAAAAGAGAACTAGCTACATTAATTCTTTAATTGCAACCCGATATTCTGCACTTGCATTTGCTGCCCTAGCTGCGTATAAACCACCAGAATTGTGGGCAAATTATGTATCACTAATCTGCATATATATAAGAAGTTGTATTCACCGCATCATCACTTTGCCCTTTTGATTTGAGGGTTAGGATCATTCGGTTTTGCTTAGAGCTTGAATTTTTGCAGTTCATTCTGTTATGAATCTAATGTCTGCCTGAAACACCCAAAAAGTAGTGCAGAAGTGTATTTAATTGTTTGAGGCAACATTAATGTTGTGGTAATATTTCATCGTACGAGACCTATTAATTAATTTTGTTTTCATGATCGACATCCAATAGATATCTTGAGCAAAACAATAATAATAAAAATAATACAAGATTTTGTTAATTACAGAGAAAAAAGTTTAAAATTCTTATCCAAATAAATTCAATTACTTTTTACTTCTTGAAGATGGAAAAAATTATATTGATACATCTTTTTTTATCCACCATTTATAATTAATAAATCAATTAGCGCATGGTATTCACCTCAATCTAATACCTTATGACTCCATATCCACTAGCCATTTTCTCATACATATATGCTCATGAAAACTGAAGCCCAAGAGTCCCAATTCCCAAGCAAAAACAAGCACAAACCAATGCACTTAATTAGTTTGCAACCAAAATCGAGATTTATAAATTTACAAAGCTTGGAGGGAGCAGAGATCGACCTCGTATGTCCTGCATATACCCGACCTCCCAAGATTTAATGGGATATTTGAGTGAGGAAGGTACGTACGTACGTAGATGCCTTTTCATGTTCATTTTATCACGAGGATGGTGTACTACTAGCTAGATGCCAAACTGACTTCAACAGATCGAGAGCTTTTAGCATACCTCCTCCAAGACAGGATTAAATGATCCACTAGATTAAACTGACTTATAGCATCTGTCTATAAGAAGATTTCTACTTGTTGTGGTAACACCTAAACAACAGGATTAGTGGTCCATTAAATTAAAAAGTCTACTTAAAAAAAAAAAAAAGAGGGGTTCCCTTCAAAATACTGACATATACTGATACACATGCATAAGGGGCATGTTAATTAACCAAAGGGTAATCCCCTAGCTAGCTACGATTATGGTACACTCTTAGATAGCCTTCCTTACCGAAATACACAGTGAATCAGCTGGCCTTCATGTACTGAAAAACAACTATAAAAGCAAGTGCTTTTCATTCTTACACATCCAACCCTTTTTACATTAGTTCGGAAACGAGTTAGCAAAATAAGAGTGTTTATCGGATATTAACGGGAAGGGTTCAAAAAGATGGCGTCACCATCCTGGCGTCTTCTTGTGTATGCACTGGTTTTCAGCTTAATAGCCATTAACACGGTAGCCAATGATGATCATGAAAAGCCTCCAAGGCCCCCTAATGATGACGAAGAGCGACACTTACCAAATAATCATCAAAGACCTCCATTTCAACCATCAAGGTCTCCTCCTCAACTATCACGATCACCACCACCACCACCTCCAAGTAAGAAAAAGTCCCCGCCATCACCTCCAACTAAGAAAAGGTCTCCGCCGCCGCCACCATCACCACCACCTCCAAGTAAGAAAAAGTCCCCGACACCCCCTCCAAAGAAAAAAACTCTCCACCGCCACCGCCGCCACCTCCAAATAAGAAAAAGTCTCCACCACCACCGCCACCACAACCAACAAAATATCCTCCTCCACCACCACCACCAACAAAATATCCACCACTATCCCCTCCTTATACTTCTCCTATACCCCCTCCAAACATTCAACCAATTCCAGCACTATCCCCATCCCCATCTCCTACTCCCATTTTATCTCAATCACCTCCTAATACTTCACCAGTATCCCCTCCAAATATTCAACCAGTTCCATCACTCTCTCCATCCCCATCTCTAGCTCCCATTTTATTTCCATCACCTCCTTATGCCTCTCAAGTACCCCCTCCAAAAATTTCACAAGTTCCAACTTTAGCTCCAGACTTCTATTTTATCTCAATCACATCCTATTATTTCACCACTACCCCCTCCAAAAATTCAACCAGTTCCATCACTATCTCCATCTCCAGCTCCAGCTCCCATTCTATTTCCATCACCTCCTAATACTTCACCAATCGTACCCCCTCAAAAAATTTCGCCAATTCCATCATTGTCTCCATCTCTATCTCCAGACTCTCATTTTATCTCCATCACCTCCTACTACTTAACCAATAGCCCCTCCAAAAATTTCACCGCATTCATCAATATCTTCATCGCCTCCTTATACTTCTCCAGCTCCATCACCATCTCCATCCCCCTCGCCTCCTCCATCTATCTTCAAATCTCCGCCTCCTCCATCTCCTTCGCCCCCTCCTCCTATCCCTAAATCTCCACCTCCTCCATGGTTTGTATTACCTCTTTTCTTTCCCTTTAAATCTCCACCTCCTCCATCTCCTTCCCCTCCTCCTCTTGTCCCTAAATCTCCACCTCCTCCATGGTTTGTATTGCCACCTTTCTTTCCCTTTAAATCTCCACCTCCTCCATCTCCTTCCCCTCCTCCTCTTGTCCCTAAATCTCCACCTCCTCCATGGTTTGTATTGCCACCTTTCTTTCCCTTTAAATCTCCACCTCCTCCATCTTCTTCTCCACCTCCGCCATCTCCTTCCCCCTCCTCCTACCTTCAAATCTCCACCTCCGCCATCTCCTTTACCCCCTCCTCCTACCTTCAAATCTCCACCGCCTCCATCTCCTACTCCCCCTCCACCTATTATAAAATCTCCACCTCCTCTATGGTTTACTTTGCCTCCCTTATTTTTCCTTAAATCCCCACCTCCTCCTTCTCCTTCACCTCCTTTATCCAATAATCCACCACCACCTCGTTCAAAAATATTTTACTAAATCGGTTAGTACTTCAAACTTTCTTTTTAATAAATAATTTATTTCAATGTGATTATGTAGTTTGTTTTGTTACCAATAATAATCTCATTGATTTTTTTTTCAGCTTATTATGCATGGTTAACGAAGGCAGTAATGCACATATTGAAAATGTAATCACTCGAAGGAAAGTCGTCCGTGCTTCATCAATCATTCCAAAACAATATTATAGAACATTAGTTAACTTAATAATATATGGACAATATGGAGGAAAATCCTTTGTTACATTGTAATACTAAATGAATGTCTCTTTTATTATAATAATTAATGTTGTTTTTATAATTTTCATTATTAAAATCTTTACTCGTACTATGATTACCTTAAAGAAAAACACAAAAAGAGAATTCAAATATTAAGGATAGCATTTACCTAATCATCAAATAGAAGATTTTCCAACTTGACAAGTTCGATTATCCGCACTTCCAAAACTCGTATAAGATATGGTCACTTGATTATGATAATTTCAATATATATAACCCCGTAAAATACGGATGGGTATATTAGATACTTGGGAGCTCATTGGCAATTTAATTTATACCTACACCACGTCATTGGTATATATTATTCTTAATCCGATTGAACAAAATTATAGCATTCCTCCGATCAATTTTTAATCAAGCCCGTAAGCAATTGTAGTGCCATAGAATTTCCATTCCAAAGCCCATAATTAAAAATAAATAAATAAATTACCCCGATATGGTTTGTGCTTCTCTATTAAGACAGAGTCCTATTGAGCAAACTATGAAAGAGATAAATTCTACTACCGTTTGATATCTACGAGGATAGATACGGGGATTCCTATCTAATGTAATAGTTCGAGTTCTATTTACACTATACTTGTATACCTATTAAAGGATGTGTTAAAGTCCTAGTGATATACATACTAAAAACATTTCTTCCACAACTAAACTCATAACTTAACTTGGTATCAAAGCTTAATAGGCTAACTCGTCAACTCTTCTCCTACACAACCCCTTTCTTTACTCGACTTCTATTGTTTCCTCTTCTTCATCCGAAATCGATGGCCTCCTCTCGGCAATACCAACTCTCCTATCACCATTGTTGAAACTATCCCAACTCGTTCATCGACCTATCATCCTAATCGAGTCACCTAACCAACTCGCATTTCTTTATTTCTTTGAAATTAACTCAAACAAACCACCTGCTATGGCGAGTCCAACTTAAGTCATTTCTCCTCGGCTAAGACCTATTTGGTTTCATTGATGGCTCCCTCCTTTGTTGTCCCACCCATATTCCCGGTATTACCGATGGCCTTTTTTAGATTAATCCAACTCACAAAGCATGGATCCAAGCAGGACCGGCTCCTCGCGAGCATGCCGATTTTCTCCTCTTAACAAACGTGCTACCTATGGTGATTGATTGCACCACCTCTCGGGAGGTGTGGTGCACACTCGAGAGTGGTCTTACTTCTCCTTCTAGCACTCGAATAATGACCCTCCACCTTGCCTTACAATGAATCAAACAAGAGCATCGTGAGTCCGTCTCACCATTCCTTCATCGTGCTAAAGCCCTTAACGACGAATTGACAACGAATTGGTCATCCTCTTCCCTCGATCGATTTCAACCTCTATGTCTTCAAAGGTCTCTCTAGTGACTTCAAGGATATTGTCATCACCATCTCCACTCGCCCCGAACCGATAACATTTACCGACCTTCATATTTTTTTGGTCATTCACGAGTTCCTACTTCATGATTCAAATACAATATCACCTCTACGGACAAGCACTACCGTCCACGCCTCTGATGCCCTATTGCCCACACCCGTTGTAGCCCATATGGTAACTAGGGGCTCGGGATGTCATCCACCCGAGTGATCGTTATGGTGGCTTCAATCGCAGTCGTGGTAGATAGGTTAGAGGTAAAGGGCGTGGTCGGTCCAACTTCGGTGTGGCAGCCTCCTTCCATTCTAATAATCGAGGTTATTGGAATCAAAATGACTCCCTCACCAAATGCTAGTTTTACTCCTCTTAGAACCATATTGTTGTTCATTGCCCATAACGCCAAATGAGACAAGTAGCACCTACGCCTAACCTCACATCCTCCTTCTCCTCATAGTTGTGCTCACATGCCCGGTGCCCCGACACTAATGCATCCCACCATATGACTCCGCATTTTGCAAGCTTTAACACATATGAGCCATACATTGGTAATGATCAATTTCGAGTTGGCAACGATGAGTTTTTACCCATTTTGCACATTGGTTCAAGTCATATTAAAACTCTTACTAAAATCTTGCATTACTTGATGTGTTACATGTCCCATAAATATCGAGCCTTTGTTATGTTAAACCTCTTGCTAAAGACAATGACTTGTTTTAAGAATTTCACCCTTCCATGTTTTGTGTTAAGGACCGAGTACACAAGATCAAATTTCTTTCAAGCAAGAATGATGCCGACCTCTACTCCCTATGTGCTTTATCTTTCAATTCCAATCCTACAGACTCTTTTGATAAAATTTTCTACAAATGTTTGGCACTCTAAAATGGGTCATCCCCACCATCGAGTACTAAATTTTCTTTTAAAACAACATTATTTTTCAAATTCTTTAAATTTATCTAGTCGAGCTTATCTTGTTCATTAGGGAAAGCTAGTTGCTTATCACTACCTTTATCAAACAATTTAAGCATTGGTATTTTGGATTAGATTTTCGGTAATGTTTGGGGACCTTCCCTATTATTTCTATTGACGACTTTAAATATTACATTATTTTCATCCATCGCTTCTTTAAATATATTTGATTTTATGCTTTATGTAAAAATCGGATGTTTATAATGTTTTTATTCAATTTCAAAACCTAGTTGAACATTAGTTTAATTGCAAAATCAAACAAGTCCAAGTCGATTGGGGTGGAGAATTTCGAGAATTGAATAATCTTTTTTAAAACACTAGAATTGCTCATCGTATCATATGTCCTTACACATATGAGCAAACCGGTTCTATAGAGAGAAAACATCATCACATTATGGAAACGAGCCTCACTCTCTTAGCGAGAGGCCCATGTTTAGACCTTCGTATTTGAAACTCGTTGTTTTTCTCATTAACATAATGCCTTCTCATATCACTAAATATAAATCACCCTTTGAACTTGTCCTTCATAAGAGCCTAGATTACTCTATTTTAAAAGTTTTTGATTGTCTCTACTTTTCATTATCTAAGGCCTTATAACAATCACAAAATTGACTTTCGATCTACACCTTGTACCTTTTTAGGCTACGACCCATCATATTTGGGCTATCGTTGTTTTGACAAAACCAAGAAACATTTTTACATAGCCCATCACGTTCGTTTTTTTTAATCAATTTATTCATTTGCACAAAATGAATTTCCTAAAAAAACTCCACTCGCACCTAATGTTTCAACTTCGGGGCTTAGTGTCCCTATTCAAGCACATTCCATCTCTTCATCATAATTCCCATACAAGTCGACATCACTCCCTTGTCTCTACAACACAACCACATCTAAGCCCAAATCCAAACACTCTCATAAATAGCCCATATCAAAGCAACAACATGACAGCCAAAACACTTACATCATCGCCCATTATCCATAAAATAAACAACTCACCTCACCAACCACCAAGACCAAGCCACTCCTCCATTGCACCGGGTTTAAATTTATTGTTAAATTTTAGCAAATATGACTTGACTAACCAATGTACGAGTAATAACTCATCACTTGATCCGGAATCCAAATGGACCCATCCTATGGTCCTCGTGGCATATGGACCCAAAGGCCTCTCATGTAACATCTCCATCAACTATTCCAAAATGCCCATCTTGCTATATTGAAGCTAAAAACTATGTTGTATGGAATCCGGCAATGGAATTAATTTGATTTTAATGCTTTTTTAAAAACCGACACCTAGTCCCTTATTCCTCCCACACTTTCAATGAATATTGTAACGAACAAGTGGGTCTTTAAAAAAAAAAAACATGCTTCGTGGCGATATCGAATGCTAAAAGGTAAGATTAGTTGCCAAAGGTTACCATCAACAAGAAGGAATTGACTTTGGAAAAACTTTCATTCCAGGTGGTCAAGTCCATAACTATCAAAGTTGTTATTTCCTTGGCAATCTTTCATGATTAGCCTATCAAACAACTAGATATGCATAATGTATTTCTATATGGCACACTCCATGAGGTAGTCTATATGGGTCAACTAGTGGGCTTTGTTAATACCCAATGCCCTAATTATGTTTGTAAGCTTCACAAGTCCATTTATGGCCTCAAACAGATTCCCAAAGGCTTGGTTTTCATGTCTTCGAGAATTCCTCCCGAAATTCGACTTCGAGGGATCCAAAAGAGGCTCCTCTTTATTTATCTATAAAATCAAATAATACAGAGTCTTTTTGTTGGTTTATGTAGATGACATCCTTGTCATCGGTAACAATTCGGACTTCCTACACACGAGTTATCCATGCCATGAACTCTAGGTTTGCAACACGAGATCTTGGTGATATTAGTTTCTTTTTGGGAGTGGTGGTTATCAAAACTTCAATAGGTATTCTCCTTTCTCAATAGAAATGCATACATGACATTTTTACCAAACAGGGAATGCTAGATTGTTGGCCTATCACCACACCCATACCCATCACATCAAAACTAAAAAAATGAGGGTATATAGTTATTTTCGGATCATACCTTGTATCGAGCAGGTTATGGGTGCCCTCTAGTATGCTACACTCATTAGATCGGATATTGCGTATGCTATGAATAAAGTATGCCAATTCATACATCATCCTAATTCGGATCATTGGGTAATTGTGAAACGTATTTTGCAATACTTGAAGCACAACGACACTTATGGCTTGCATATTTGGAGGTCCACCTCTCAACTCCTCACAGTGTTTTTTTTAATTCGGATTAGGCAGTGTTCGTAGATGACAAGAAGTCTATAGGGGGTTTTGCGGTCTACTTAAGGCTTAATTTGATTCTTAGAGGTCCTCCATACAAAAAATAGTGGCACGAAGTTCTACCGAGGCCGAGTATAAAACCGTGGTTGATCCGGCGACTAAACTAACTTGGGTTATGTCCTTATTGGGTCAACTTGGCGCTACACCGGTCCACAAGCCGATCATTTGGTGTGATAATAGTAGAGCCACTTATTTGGTCGTGAACTCGACCTTTCATGCATG